CACCTATTTTTATTCAAATTAGTGCATCGTGCGCGGACCACACAGCCTTGATTGCCTTTTTACAATCAGTGAATATCTCTGCCACTGATTTTGTGATCCAAATTTTAAATAAAACTCAAATCAAACTATCACTCTCTTCCATGAATCAATATGACCAAGTGATCACTCTTTTACGTGAAAAAACTATTGAATTTTACTCCTATCAAAAAACTCAGGATCGTCCATATCGTGTCGTATTACGCGGTCTTCCTAATCAACCCCCGGCTCTCTCATAGCAGAATTTCTCAAAAAACATGGACATGAACCAGTTCGTATTCACTTACTTAGACATTGGAAAACCAAAGAGCCCATTCCATTACGTGAAATTGACTTAAAAAAAGCGCCCTCAAACAGTTTTGTTTTAAACATTAAATCATCCTTCTGTGAATATCAACATTTTAAAATCTCTTTTGAATCTCCGCGACCTAAAAGACTTGTAATTCAATGCCTAAACTGCCAAAAATATGGTCACTCTCGCAACTTTTGCGCCCGTAAACCAATTTGTGTAAAATTTGGTCAACCTCACAAATCTGAACTCTGTGACAAACCTGCGAGACGTTTCTTCCTAATAGCCTGATATATAGAGCATCCTTTGTAATTTGCAGTATGACCAGTGGTACCGCAGAGAGCACAGGTGGGGGGGGGGCCCTCCTTAGGTTTGTCACAGAGTTCAGATTTGTGAGGTTGACCAAATTTTACACAAATTGGTTTACGGGCGCAAAAGTTGCGAGAGTGACCATATTTTTGGCAGTTTAGGCATTGAATTACATGTCTTTTAGGTCGCGGAGATTCAAAAGAGATTTTAAAATGTTGATTTTCACAGAAGGATGATTTAATGTTTAAAACAAAACTGTTAGAGGGCGCTTTTTTTAAGTCAATTTCACGTAATGGAATGGGCTCTTTGGTTTTCCAATGTCTAAGTAAGTGAATACGAACTGGTTCATGTCCATGTTTTTTGAGAAATTCTGCTATGAGAGAGCCGGGGGTTGATTAGGAAGACCGCGTAATACGACACGATATGGACGATCCTGAGTTTTTTGATAGGAGTGAAATTCTATAGTTTTTTCACGTAAAAGAGTGATCACTTGGTCATATTGATTCATGGAAGAGAGTGATAGTTTGATTTGAGTTTTATTTAAAATTTGGATCACAAAATCAGTGGCAGAGATATTCACTGATTGTAATAAGGCAATCAAGGCTGTGTGGTCCGCGCACGATGCACTAATTTGAATAAAAATAGGTGGCGGTTTATTTTCAATTGGCATTTTGTCAATGACTTCAGTTAAAATATCGAATTTATTTTGCGTAAACACCGGATTATCTTGTGGCACTGGCACATTTTGTGGTGAAGGCTCATGCTGCGTATTCCTTAGCTCGCGGCAGCACAGTTCCATAGATAGTGCGTGAATTGAGCCGCGCGGTAGATTTACGCGATTGCGTGCGAGGCGTTAAAATCTGCTCGTTGTCGCAGACGCTGATGACATGATTTAGGGATCCTAGGGATTTTTTTTACAGATAATCCTCTTAATCGTAGTTGTAAGCAGGACCAGCCTCCTAATCTTGAATGCTCGCATGCGGATAGAGAAATTCCCAAGTAGCGCAGTATACGGTAAATTGAAATTACATGGTGAAATTTTTGCAGTTGCATCGGATATTGGGTCAAAGAGTGTTGCGTATGTTGCCTATCCACTAATTGAAGGGGCTTCTACATTCATTTACACGTCGCATCGCTTCTTTTTTGCACTTACTGCTGTCCTCGCTATCAGGGCAGATTAACTTTGACAATCAACGAAGATTATTATTTTGCTTGCACTAGTGAAATACAACCTGAAATAGAAAACCTCTCGCCTCTGCAAGTACCACAGTGAGGAAAGTTTTGTATAGTTTCCCTTGAAATTTCCAGATATTTTAGATTAAATCGCGTACAAAATTGCCTAAAATTTTTGAAACAGAATATTGACAATTTTCCCGGTAAATTTCACTCTTCTTGAAGGAAAGCTGGCGACATCTGGAGGCTCATGCGGCGTTTTTCCTTAGCACGGCACCATAGTAACTCCATCCCACATTCCTACTCTCACAATACTTTATCGGAAAATGAATGTCGATCATCCTTCTAAAAGCGCTTGTGAGAAATTATTGCGCACGTAATTTTTGTTTCCGAATATTGTTTGTCCCTTGAATGCGACCCCTTCCAAGCGAACCCTCAAGTGTAATCATATCACGGTGCACAGTGGATTGAGTCAATCAAAGAAGTCTGGCATGAAATTTTTGACTAAAACTGCAAATTTTGATGTTTATTTCGTCACTTTTCAAGTTTTAAGGGATGTTTCTGGGAGAAAATTTTACGAGAAAACCAATGGAACCAATTTTGGAACCCTAAAGTGTGTATGGACGTAGTTATAAGCGTTTAAAATTTCCTAATTTCGTCTGATCTCTCCTATTGACTCAATCCGCTGTGCGGTAGGTGAAATTTTTCTATCAGTCTCAACGAATCTCCACACCGGGTAGTGATTTGTTCCTGCGCGAGCAGTAGGATACTTGAATGAGTGACTGTTATCGTGAACTCGGTGACACTTGCTTTTAAAATTATTGTTTCATAAAAGTGGAATTATTCTGCATTCGACGTGTGTTTGAAGTCTACATGCTCCATTGAGCCGTGCTCGCACTTCACCAATACGTTTTGTTAAAACTCGTGAGGTACTTGCAGACACGATGGTTAACTGCTTGCGGAGGCGGGTCCAGAAATTTGGCAACACCGGATTTCCTCCATTTAAACTTATATCAAATTATCGATTCTTGACGGAGTACAGATTCTTGCCCCTTCAAGAATCGATACATTTCCACAGGTTTAAATGGGGGAAAAAACAATGTTGCCGACTTGCTGGATTCGCGAATGACTAATTGTGAATCCGAGCGTTTCAATTTGTGGAAATCTTTGGTGACATAATTGTAGACATACTATGACATCTTTTTGATCCATCAAAATAAAGCATCGACCACCGGTAGCAACGAATGTTGAAATAACTTTTGAAAAAACTCGTCATTTTTAAAAAGACAACTCATAAAAAACGATTAAAAATGTTTGTTTCAGAAGCCTCTTTTCGACATTTCATAAGTAAAATTTAAGTAAGAACGCGTGTTTAAAAACCTCAAAATATGAACTGTGCATAGATTGGTAGGAGAAACGGGGAAAACAGGAAAACGTTTGAAAAAAGTGTCAAAAATTCTTAGACAAATATTTATTTTTTGCTGTGACTTTTTAAGTAAATTTCACGAAGAGTTAATTTTACTGAAATTGAAAAAATAATCACAGGGCGTTTCTTAAAACAAAAATTCTAACCGTTCTCTTAAAGTTTTTTTTTTAAAATATCTTTGAAGGTTATTGCTACAAGACGACGCGAATAAACCGGGAATCATTGCGCTTGGAGTCGCTAAAAATCCGCACGGTTGATTTCACGCACGGTCAACTTCGCGCCACTCGCCGTCTGTGGAGCCGTAGCTTGAAACGGTGGCGATTACACTTCTCGTTTTTTTCTCTTTTTTTTCTAATCGTTATTTTTTTAGGCTGTATCGAAAGGCAATCGGCGTGTGGCAAAGCGCACGGTGGGTCAAACGGGTTCGCTTGAAGAAATAGAAAAAAGAATGAACGAATTTTATTTCTTACGCGAGCGAATTTGAAAGTCGCGCTGAAAAAAAATGGCTGGAAACCTGGTGGGGATCATTAACAAATACGTAAGGCTGGATTTTAGAAATTTTGAATTTGAATCAAAGCTCGTTTCATCAATGAAGCATCGTTTAAAACCCGAACACTTTCCTCGTATACTGCCGTGCTAAGGAAGAACGGCGTATGAACATTTCAGAGTTGCAAAATTTCCTCCGATAAAATGTTTATTTTTGAGGAAAGTCATGAATATTTTTCCTTNAGGCTATTAGGAAGAAACGTCTCGCAGACAAAAAACCAACTTTTGTCAATCATCAACAAGTTTTTCAAAGTCAACTTAGTCCAAACAAAGGCAAGACATATGCCGCCGCAACAGCTTCCAGAGGAGAAGCCATGAACGCTACAACACCAGACATTATCAATCCATTATCTAAATCGCAGTCTCAAATCAATCAATTAGTCAAACAAATTTCAAATCTATGTTCTCTTTTAACTCAATTTCTCTCGGCACACATTCACCCTTGAAATGCCTGTTCACTATCACTTACAATTAATAATATCCTAAAGACTCATAAAGTCTTATAAACCTTTTCATTCAAGAAGTAAGAAACTTCTCTGTTGTTTCTTATATACCGATTTACCTTATTGTAAAGATATAATTGTATTTAATTCCTTTGGAAGTTTACAAAATAAAAACTTTAAAAAAAAAAAATAATAATAATTTTCTTGGATAAAATTTTGAAAGCAAAAAATCTTTCCGGGTTCCCTATATGTCTCTTGTGCTATGCCTCTAGGCAGAGAAAAATAATGCTAAGTACAGAAAGTTACAAATGATTAGTATTGTAGTGATACAGGCACCAGTTGATACAGGTACCATAACAGCTGGTGCTTGTATAACAATAATATCGCACAAAATCAGTTAAAAATCCGTCCTCATCCCTTCACTTGAAACTTTGCACAATAGTTCTTAGCCGGCACCATACTCGCGGAAAACGAAAAATTTCAGTAAGGGCTCGCGAAACAGACTGAAGCAGAGAACTACGCGTTCCGGGGCCAGAGCCGGTTTCCAGCAGGAAATTCCTGAAACTTCAGCAGTGAGGGACAAAATGATCCCTTCAACCCCCCCCCCTTCCCGTTAGGACAAAGAGAAACTGACCGCCGCACTATGGTCCGAATAGCCGGTTTAAGCGGCAATAAATCGAAAAAGTGAAGTTTGGAAAAAGTTAGATTTTAAGAGGTAGATCGATAGTACATACTGTAGAGAAGACTCCTGTAAAATTTCACTTCGATTAAAGCACTAATAAAGATGTAACAAGCCTGGGAAGTGCGGCGCGCGGAGCACTTTATGAGTGCGATTCCAGTTACCGAGCGGCAGTGCTGTGTTTAAGGGCTTGTTTTCGTCGTTTCACCGTACCTGAAAGTGTTTGGGCACTTGATTCACAAAATACAAGATAAGTTTAAGATGTTTCATGCTGAAACTGTTCTTTTTCATCATATCTAATGCTCTAGATTAACCCTTAGACATAGTCAGTTTTTTCAATAAAATCGCAAAAGTATGACCCAAAAAATATACTTGGCACCTCTGAGCACCTCGTAATTTTACTGGGAAGTTATTGTCATGACTCTAGACTACCTTTTAGTCTGAGTGGCAGAACCATAGTCCACCATAGCCTCAAGTTATTTCTCATGAAAAATGACGTTTTCGCGTTTCTTATCACTTACTACAATTAGCTATCATATGCCATTGACGATGACTTTTATCATGTTCCATTGTCATATTCTAGCAAATCGAATGCATTAGAGCCTAAATCTGCCCAGGCAGAATAATACGAGTTGATGGGGTTGATCGGGACCAATTGAAACTTTGTGCTCAAGAACAGCAAAGAATCGCCTCGGGAGGCTACTTTGAGGCCCCGTAAAAGTTTTTTTTTGACGTTTTACATATAATCTATCAGTGTAGATATATGTTAGCATAAGTTTAGCTCGGCAGACGAAAATAAGTCTAAATGGTTGATCGGTGGGACTTGAAAGTAAGGCTCCCGAGCAATGAAATTGTCTTAGGAAGCCACTTTGAGGTCCCGTAAACGTTATTTTTTTACGTTTACCCATGTTTCAAACAAATAATCTATCAAAATGGATATATTTAAGCTTAAGTTTCGCTTGGCAGACGAAAACAAGTTCAAACGGCTGATCGGTGGGACTTGAAAGTAGGCCTCTGGAGCCATGAAACGTAGAAGTATTATCCTGAGCTGTCTTTTTCAAGTTCCCTTGATAGTAGTGTTCGACGAGGCTCTACTTTTAGCTTCTTATAGTCTACCCAATGTAAAATTAATTTTTAAACTTATAAAAAAAAAAAAAAAAATTCTTCCGAGGATTGAACTCGGGACATCCAGGAGACAAGTAAGACGCGATGCCAACTGCTCCACCGCGTTACCTTGGATTGGTAGCCTCAATTTAAGGTTTCTGAACAAATTATTACAACAGTTATAATATAAAGTATAAAAATGTTAAAAATGGATTTTTCCTGAAAAATATTAGCATTTTTGCACTCCGCGACCCTAAAAACCCCTGAAACTCATGTTGCGAGGTTTAAACATACGTATCTGATTTAATGCCGCTTAAACCGGCTATTCGGACCATAGTGCGCCGTGTGTCTGTTGCCAAGTTAGAATAAAATTCAACCAGAACCT